AATGCCGTCACCGGCGGTGGTGAGATTTTTGATATAATGTAACGGCGCAGGCAAGACTACTCGGATCAGTATCGGCAGTAGCGTCACTCAGAGGCATATGGGAGTGCGTGGGACATCAAACGAGCCTTGATTCGAATAGACACCTATAGGCCTTGTACGAAAGGATATCAAAAATCTATCGAGCTACGGTATGGAGAAGGTGGGGTTTTATATCAGCAGATCTGCCCTCGGCTAGTGCGTGCCCATGTTCGGATCCCTTTCGGATGTTAGTTCAGTGTGTACTCGAACCGTTACAAGATTCTAATAAGTAGTTAGCTTATATCTATAGTTCGCGTAGTGCGGTAAGTGCTTTATTATTACTAATTTCGTACTATTATAGGCTAGTTACGCTATTAGTAATAATTCTACCTAGTTATCCTATAACTTATTAGCGTATATCTGTAGGTACTATTCTAATATCTAGTTCGTTTGTTCTGTCTGGCCGTCTATTTCTAGGTAAAAGCTTATTAAAAGCTTCTTCTTAATACCTAACTTTGCTAGAAATATGTTCTAGTGTTTAGACGTAAATAGTTTATTATAATTAGTAATAAACTCTTTAGGTATTCTATGCTCTAATACTAGTGCTTTTATAATCTTATACGCGCATTTATCTACTATAATAGTCTTTTCTATAGGTATAAATTTCGCTACCTTAGTTAATTAGTTTATAATTACTAGAATTGTATTGCAAAATTAAGCTAATCTTAGTTCTAACAATCTTAGGAGCTTTACTATAAAGTCTATTATTATACTTATCTATAGTTTAGATAGTAGCTGTAGGGGTTATAATAGGCCGTAGAGCTTATATCTCTTAGGCTTGTTCTAGTAATATACTAAATAGTTGCTTAGTATTTTCTATATCTTCGCTCGTAAGTATAGTATCTTAAATGTCCTTTTTAGTTACCTAACTATTTTGTTTACTACTATATGTCTGTATTCTGGGGACTTATGTAGTGTCTTAATAAGTTTAGCTTTTATATAAGGGGGTACGTATATCTATATGCTTTCTCTTAGAGCTTTAAGTTCTCTCTTATTATTTATTACTTCCGGCGGGTATTCTGGTATTTACTGCTATACTGTTGCCTTTTCCTGCTATTATTATTTGAGTGTTTCTACTTGCTTAGCTACCTTAGCTACCTTAGCTAGTTCTAGCTAGTTGTACTTTAGACTGCTATTAGGTATTATCTTAAGTAAGGCGTTATGTGGTTCTTTATAACCTTCTTCGCGTAAATTAGACCTTCTACTTAAAGCGTCCACTACTCTATTAAGCGTCTCTGCGTAGTATATAATCTTAAAGTTAAACTAGGCTAGCGTCTCTGCTTATTATACTTATTATTAGTTGAGTTTTTTCGTTATTATGAAACTTGTTAAGTTCTAGTAATTAGTAAAAATCTTAATCTGTTTAGGGAGTTCTAGTAGGTATACTTCCTATTATTTAATGATATTAACTACTCTAAGTAGTTCCTTATTATAAATATTATAGTTAAGTTCTACTCTAGAGAACTTCTGTAAATAGTAGAATACTAGTCTCTATTTTCTATCTAGGTACTACTGTAATAGTATAGCTCTAAGTGTATAGTCGGACGCGTTAGTCTTAACTCTAGTAGGTTGTTGAGGGCTGTACATCTTAAGTACTAGCGCCTTTAGGAATATCTGCTTAATTCGATCGAAGGCCTCTTAATGTTCCTATTCCTATTTAAAACCTATTTCCTTTTTTATTACTTCTATAAAGAGTACTATAATCTTTAAGTAATCTCTAATAAACTTCTAATAATAGTTTATAAATTCTAAGAAGGATTAAATATTCTTAACTATTTTAGGTATTAGCTATTCCTGTATAGTCTATATCTTCTTTAGGTTTATTTTTACTTCTTTAGTTAATATAATAAATCTAAGGAATTCCGTTTTCTATGTATAAAATTTGTACTTTCTTAGTTAAAGGTATAGCTTATATTCCTTAAGCTTTCGTAGAACTTTCTTAATATACTTAATATATTCTTCGCGTATGCCGCTAGAGTATACTAGTATATTATCTAGATACGCGGTAACAAAGATTCTAAGGTATTTATAGAGTGCGTTATTAATAACTAATTAAAAGGTTACTAGCGTATTCGTTAATTTAATTAGTATAACTATATATTTAAAGAGTCTATACTTCGTTTTAAACGCTGTTATCTACTTATAACTTGCTTTAATTCTAATTTAGTAAAATTCTTCCCGAACGTTAAACTTCGTAAACTACTTAGCTCCCTAGAGTTAATCTATAAGCTCTGTAATAAGTAGTAAGAGATATTAGTTCTTCTAAGTTATACTATTTAACCTTCTAAAGTTAATATATAGTCGCTACTTCTTATTAGATTTCTTTACGAATAAGATAGGTAAGGCTATTAGACCTAATCTTAGTCGGATAAATCCCTTTTTTAAGTTCTTTTAGATGTAATCCCGTAGCTTAGTATTATACTTAGGCGCTATAGGGTATATTAGTCCTAAGCTTAACTTAGCTCCTTTATTAAGGATAATCTTATAATCCTAATTCTAATAGTTGTAACGATGTTACAACTTCGCTATGTATCGGACCAATCCCAGAGCCGGATCGGAGGTAGTACTCGCCGCCCTCTTCATCAACCACTCGTTGTGAGGTCGGATCCGATTCGGATCCGACTAAGATAAGTATATAAGGAGACACTCCCTGTAGCTAGCTCTGTAGACTTTTGATATCCTTTCGTACAAGGCCTATAGGTGTCTATTCGAATTAAGGCTCGTTTGATGTCCCACGCACTCCCATATGCCTCTGAGTGACACTACCGCCGATACTGATCCG